TTTATGTTTGAAGCCTGAAATGTGGCAAAAGGTTGAAAAGTTCAAGGGGGCCGAATACTTTCGCAAGGCACTGTAAGACTGAATTGCCACACGGCACCACACCTTGTAAAAGTAAGATATTATGTATATTTTACTGTTCATATTCTATATTATTTAATTAGTAAATAATAAACTTATTATTTATAAAAATAAAAATATATACTGTATTCTGAACTGCACTGCATTCTCAGTCCCAAACACATAAAATATTAATTTTGTGAGCGCATTTCAGCCATTTAAGAGGACTGTCTTTTGATCAAGTGTGATTCTTTTTTTTATCTGCAATCCAGAGTGTAAGGTACTGTGTGTTCCTAGCAGGACGGAAAGAGAAAGAAGAGCTGACTGGGTTAGTTTTGAGTAATCTGAAGCAGACCCCAGACATTGAATAGTGGGCTTCAAACCTGCCGCAGGAAGGCCTCCTTGTTGGCCAGTTCATTCTCTAGCTTGTCGCTGATGTCATGCAGTGAGGTGGACTCTCTTTGAGCACTGAGGTAACGCTTTTCCAGGGTGGTGATGCGCTCCTCCATGTCGTCCTTCTGGCACATGGCCTGTGTACAACAGAACATTTTCCCTATTCATCAACTTCATGCTTATTTAAACCCTATTTAAAAATTCTTAGTTGGTTGTGGGAGAAGTTACAAATAATGAAAAGCTCAATATAAACAAGAAATAATAAAGGTTATATACTGTAGATGAATTGCATAAATGCACACACATGTATATACTGTATAGTAGCACAGGTGCAGTATGTCTGATAGAGGCACTTTGAACTATGGTTTTGCTCCAGTCAGGATCTTCCTATCAAGAATATAAAGTAAATGAGACATAGTTACAAACTGATACTCAAGAAAGGTATTTGGGGATGTAACTGGGGCTGATGCATCACCTCTTTGATGTCTCTCTGGTATCTCTGGCTCATCTCCTCAGACTTGATAAGGTCCTTCCTGGCAGTGTCCAGCTCCTGCTCCACCTCGGAGACGCGGGAGGACAGGGAGGACATGCGCTCCTTCATCTGAGCCAGCTCATAGTTCTGCTTCTCCAACAGCTCCTGCAGCTCCACCACCTGGCTGGCCTCATCAGTTGAGTCGATGGAGCCGTTGGACATCCGCTGCTCCGAGAAAGACAGGCAAGTTCGTAAGAAAAGACAGGCCACTCCAGCATATGTTCCTTCAGGGCCACCACTTGCCTTGAGAGGGCACCTCGGAGCTGGGACACTATTCTCTTTGGAATAACATAAGGAAAAAACATATTTGTCACAGATTTATTCACGTTCAACATCATGACAAAAAAAAAACAACTTACAATGTTACTTCTAAACACCTTGTAATTCCAAGTCATGTTTTGACTGATCTCATGGTACAGATTAAACTACAAGCTCCTGAATCCCAGTGAGTACACAATGAACAACAGAACACAATGTACAGGTATACTTTTTTCAACTCTGTCTGTATCATCTTCTTTGTTTGATCTTTAATTAATTTAATGTAGCCCAGCAGTGCAGTGTAAAATAACTTGACAAATAAGATACACTTACCAAAACAATATCAGACAATCTAGGTAAAAAAAACATTTTTATAGAATTATTACAGTGCAATATACATATATCTGTACTTACATACATGACCTGATACTAGACTTTGGTGCTACAGTGTTACAGTACATTATGGGCCTTTGTGTTATTTTGATACTGTTCATAATTTATCAAATTAACACTATATGGAGCAACAAAACATAGTTTTAATGTAAAGAGCCAAACTGTAAAGAGCTTTTACAGAACAGTTGCATGGAAAATGGGCTCCTAGTGTACGTAATGAATCTGTTCCGGTTATATCACTTTTTACAGAATATCCTCACATCAGGGTTAAGCCTTTTGGTGTTTTAAGTCTGTGGTTGTTTGGATTCAGGAAATGAAGCAGCTTGGACATTTGCCTGATAAGGAAAATCAAATCTGGGGTCTGATTGCATACATACCATAACATTAGAATTAAACACAGATTTAATCCAATGGGAATTCTCTGCTTTTTCTTTCAAAATACCATCTCATTAAGATTATCCTTAATTATCCTAATCAGATCTAATCATTTGGGTGATTAACCTGTTCCATAATTACAGATCACAAAGGGGCAAGACAAATTTTACATGGCACTTTGTTTCATCATTATTGAAATATGCTTCTTATTTCCTGCTACTTACTTTCTCTATTCAAATACAGTAAGAAGTGTTCCTTGCTAAACCCAGAGTAAATCAAAAGTATTACTTACACCATCCACCGCAATTCTGCTTTTATACTGTTCTGATAATAACTTTAGGAATTTGTTTCACTTATACAGTAATTGAGCTTCTTTTGACTACAAATTCAGATGTACAATTCAGAACTGATTCAAATTATTTCAAATTGTACTAGTTTAGTCCAACACAAAACTGTTGGGACAGTTAAAAATGGTTATTATTTTTTTACAATAACTAAATTCAATCCAATTTACTCTGTGCAAGGACATAATTTGGTGTGAAAAGAGATTAAATGTACAACTTCACAAGCTTTAGTGATTGATTTTATATGTCTGCCAATAAGGTTAAGGTTAATGATTTTGTGATTTGAAGGGTCTCCTGTGTGAAAAAAGGAAAACGCCAGATGCCCAGGATCTAATTTTAAAAATTTTGCATGTACTTTACAATATTACACTTCTAGCACCTTCTGACAAGCAGATAACAGACCGTGGGCCTGCAAAAATGAACATCATATATATGCTTTAAAAAACAACTATATCAGTCCCTAATACAATGCAACAATTAAGGACTGGTATGAAAGCCTTTTAAGAAATATATTAAAAATAAAAAATAAATAAAAATATAAAACCAGCAATTTCAACTGGACAATATAGCAAAATTTGTCTCACTGGTAGAGAGATACTTTTGCACTACTGGGAACCAGAACTTCAGAAACAATATAGTTGTAAGCTAAAAGAAACTTTATAGAAGGTCTCACAAACAAGCAAAAAAAAAGCTTTAAATACCAGCCACAATAGAAAAAAACATAGCAGACAGACACTGAAGCAGCAATAAAGTTCTGTGATCGCCCCAACTGAGGGGCAGTGTCACTTGCTTATTAGCCAAGATTGTTAAAGTGCTGAGAATAATTAATTTAGAGGTAGAAGCCCTGCCTGCAGCAGACTGATGTGCCTCATTTACAGTATACACACACCGCTTAGACCTGCAGACGAGTACAGGATGGCCCACGGGAAGCCTGGGCCAACCTCATTGCCAATCCAGCAAGATGTACCGTGCATCAGATAGATCTGCACAAAAGACATCTGGCACAAAGCACAGAGCACAATACCTGGTAGGCAAAATTAGACTCCAATTCAACAGAAAGTGATCAACCAGCTTGGAAAATGAATAATGTTATTAGGTGTTAAGATGTCTGTAGGTCCTGTAAAATAATACCTTGGTTTTGTCATTGTCTTCAAGCCTTGGCCATCAAGGAAATGTTAGAAAATCTATTTCTAGGCCTGAGGAATTTTTAAAGAATTAGAAAGTGAATGTCTCTGTGTGGCCAGGCAAAGCCCTGACTTGAATCAAACTGAGAATCTGTGGAGGCTTGGAAATTGCTATCTGTAAGTGATTACCAAACAGTTTCAGAGATCTTGAGCAAATCTGCCAATCCAGTATGTAAAGTCTGTAGAGACTTACTCAAAAATACTAGCAGCTATAACTGCTGTCAGTGGTGCATCCAACATTAAATCTCAAGTAGTCCCAATTTCTCAGACCGGTTACTAAATCACAATAATAAAATTATTTCAGATACTGAACTAAAAGTTGTGCTCAAAGAATTTGCCATTCATACCATAATTACCCACAAAAAGTAACCAATGAAAAGAGGATGCAGTCATAGGGTGATATCAGTGCTTGATAGAAAAATTGAAAAAAAAAACTATGTTAAGATATGTATTACTGTACATATGTTTTAACGAGTAAGAGGAATATTTCTAATGGATTCAAAGAGGTGTATTCACAAGCCTGCTTGTTTACAATGTAATAGAGCTTCTTCACTTCAGCGGATGTTTTGTTGCCTATGCAATATGGTGCTGCTGCACATAAATGGAAATGTCAGCTATTTTGTGATGTAAATTGGAGGTTTTACACATTACCATGTGCAGTACATTTTACTTTCATTGTGGTTTGAACTGCACTCATCAATCCTGATTCTTTCTAACTCCAAAACATAAAAAATAGTGTTGCAGTTCCCCTTTAAGTTCACAGTCTGAATATGTATGGAAGCAACATACTTTTAAGCTGGTGTAAAGCTTTTTCCATTTAAAAAAAATATTAATTTTTATTTTAAACTGTTTAAAGTGCTTAAAACTTTCTTACACTTACGTTGAAGTGCAAGCATCACAGCTGGTGGGGAGAACTCACTGCAGTGCAAGCTGTTTTGCTGTAAACGTCATTCTGTTCTTGCTAAAAATGGATACTGAGAAAGAGAAAGCCTGACTTTCCTGAAGGAAGTTAGGACCTTGTCTTAATGTCACATCCAATGTAGAGTATTTCAAAGGCCACAAACCTTATAAATCATACTATGGCATGAAGTGAATCACAGCCCACAGGAAATATGCCTCCTTCTGGGTATAACAGCACTTCTAAATTGAATCATGAACTCTAGTCAGTCTCCCAGTATCCTGTATTACTTATGTTTTGTACTTGCATTTTTAAAGTACCTGGGCATAAATTTACTCCAGTTGTAATCTACATACTGTAACACTGTATAATTTCTATTTTTTATATTTACTTCTGCATTTGTTTCAATAAGAAAACACCAACAATACTCACCAAGAATAATGTTAACATCATTGCCATATAAATCACTTCCACGAATGCCTATTTCCAGTTTCTTTTCTTTAATACGTTTTTACATCCTGTCTGTAATTTCAGTCTTATAATTATACTTTTTTTCCCTTAACGAACGTAAGCTGATGGGCTTTATTAATCTAAATAAATGAATCCTTCCATAACAATTTTACTACTTTCAAATCACAAATGTACTGGATGAAAATGAATCAAATCAAAAAGTTTCAATTTGAAGATACCATTTAGCATAACTGAGACAGAAAATGTCATTTAGAGATGATGGGCAGTGCTATGGGAATGTACTGTATATACATTATATAAACAAGGAAAGGTTAATTTCATGGTGAAAAGGTTGTGAAAACAGGAGAAGTAATCTAATTAACCAATCTAGTCCGACTAGAGTTTGGGTTACAGTTAGAAAATGGAAAAGGCTTAGGATTTCCTTAGGTTTGAGAGGAGAAGTGGATTTGCTGTCCCCTACGTTTAAAAAAAGTATGGTTAACTTTCTCAGAAGATTTAAATTGGTAGGGAGATGTGCAGTATACTATCACTTAAGGTCAGGATTTAGGAAGACAGACTCTTGGCTAGCTCTCCCATTTCAATTACAGTACAACTACAGGGGGCCCACTTATGCAAAGCAGGTTATGGACCAAGTCAGGGTGGCATATTAATTGGCAGTCTGGTAAAACTGGCATCTGCCTCAGTTTCACAATTCCCTGCTCTTTATTAGTCACAACTTGTTATTCAGTTTACAGAAAATAGGATGTACGGACTGTGTAACAGTGTGTTCATGTGTATATGTAGGGGGTCCAAAGCCAAGGCTTAGGGAGACCAGCTGCAGTCATGTAAGAGACAAAAATATATATGACATACTGTTCTACTGACATAACTGTAACATTTTTTTATTTTGAATTGCCCATTAATTTTCTATTCACCTGATTTGGAATAGGTGATAAATAGTTTGGTTTTACAGCTACAACACACGTATGGCTACAAAAAAGATTGAGACAAGCAGACATCCTCCTCCTGTATACCCTACTGGACAAAGGCATTAATCATTTTACATGTTGCAAACCCTACAGCATCCTGCTGAAGAATCTGCACTAATTGGAAGAGCAGTATATCACTCACATCATTGCAAGTCTGCAGGTGCATGGTAAGTCACAAGTGTTGGTGCCTAAGAGATCCCAGGCAGATCAATCTCAACCATATAAATTATATATTGCCATATGGGCAATTCTAGTCACAGTTAGCTATTACATGACCTAGACACTACCTGAAATCATCAGGAACTACACTCTAAGCAAGCATATTTGCTAATTTAGCCACTTGAAAACCCCAAACAAATATCAGTTACTGATTTAGGAGGCTCCAAGTCCAAGATCAGAAGACCAGCACATTGTAATTCTAGTTTTCTTGAAACATGTTCTAATCATAGGCCTCACAATGGTTAGTAATGCTGCCTTGCAGCAATGGGGCCCTGTATTCAAATTCAGACATGGAGTGCTACCTGTGTGGAGATCGTGTGTTCTCCCCATGTTTGTCTGGGTTTCCTCTGAGTGATCCAGTTTCTTCCCACAGTCCAAAAACCTCATTGCAAATAACCTTTTCAAACCCCTCCAATCTGGCTTCCAGCAAATTCACAGCACAGAAAGTGCCCTGGTCAAAGTCACTAATGATCTTCTGATAGCTTCTGATTCTGGTTATCTTTATATCCTCATTCTTCTTCATCTCAGTGCTGCTCTCGACACTGTTAACCATGATATCTTACTTTCTCCTTTTGTGATTGTGATTGGAGGTTCTGACACTGTTCTTAAATGTTCTTAAAAGTTTTACTTCACTGATCTCTGTCACTTTGTCTCTCTTGGTTGATTTAGGTCTGAAATTGGACTCGTTAAGTCTGGTGTTCCTCAGGGCTCAATACTGGGTGCCCTACTTTTAAACATTTACATGTTTCAACTTGGTCAGCTTTTAAAGTCACAGGGCATTAACTATCACTTCTATGCTAATGACACCCAAATCTACATCCATACCAAACTTGACACTGATGTGGCTGTCTCTATTCTCTCTAATTGCATCTCCGACATAAAAACATGGATGACTCAAAATTTCCTTCATCTAAATTGTGACAAGACCAAAGTCATGCTTATTGGCAGCCCCATCAACTTTGTAAAGCCAGTGCTATAACCCTATCTGTGGATGGTACTGTACATGAACTTCAGTCTAAATTGAAAAACTTGGGGGTGATATTTGAATCAGGTATGACATTTGACCCACATGTGCAACATATTATCAAAACATCATTCTTTCACCTCAGAAATATGGTTAGACTACATCTTATGTGTCAGGTTTCATGTTGACTTCAAAATCCTCATGCTCACCTATAAGTTTCTGCGTGGCTTGGCACCTCATTACCTGTCTGAGCTACTATCGTCCTACTCCCCCCTTGCAATCTTCGAACTTCTAATTCTGGTCTACTATCTGTCTCAAGCCCATCTACACTCAAAGGGTGACAGGAACTTCTCCTGTTATGTCCCAAACCTCTGGAAATCTTTTCATAAGGAGTCGGAGTCACCTTCCCTAAACCATGCTCCTCCATGACCTTGAATTTAAAGAAGCAGTTAGAAAATGGATGGATAAATAAATCATCTCTGAAATTTCTTTAAATTATCAGAATGAAAACATACCTTTCCATGGACTTTTTGTCCAGCTTCAGCTCCTTCAAGCAGCTCAGCTTCAGATCCGTCTCCAGATGCTACTTTCCTCTGAATGTGTGCATTCTGCTCACGTAAAGCTACAATCTGGAATGAATAATATGACACATAATTGAATGCCTTTATGCAAAGCAATGCTCAAGTGAACCTGGTCTCCAATAAAATTTATTACAGAATTATAAATTTAGTTTTTAATTTAATATGAGCTCCATTTTATGCAACTGTTGGAACATATTTAACAAGAATCTCTATCTAAGTGAGAAAACTGAAGAAAATTTTTCTGTTTACCTCTCATGACCATGAGACATTTTGGTATTTATTGGCTTTACATTTTTGCTATGCAACTGATACTTTTTTTCACTTTTTTGAATTTCCTGGAGATTTCAATTTGAGAATAGTTATATAATAAACATATTTTTAATTTATTTGGTTATCAGTGTCCTGAATAAAAACAACTGTAATGTTCTTAAATATAAGAAAAAAGAATTCAGAAATCAGTCATGATGTTAAAGTTGATACTCTGGCTTTCAATCACTGGATCTGATGTTCAGATTACTCACCAACTAATAACCAAATGAGCTGTGTGTGTTGAATGGCCAGTTATCATTTGTAACCTTTCTTATTCTTATGTGATATTACTAGTAAAATCATGTAATAATTATTTTCACGAATTAAAATACGTATTCATGTTTTAATACATATTGTACATCTGATCAAAAACAGTGTACAGTACAGTATATATTTCAGCCCAGCTAACCCATTTGGTAGTGGTGGTGTTTTCTAAATGTTTTTGCTACAAATGCTGAAACGTAAAATGTATTTTGACTAACACTTTTATCCAAAGTAACTTACATCGCACCCACTTTCCAGAGAAATCTGAATTAAGCAGCTTGTTCAAGGGTAAAACTGCAGTGCCCTATCTGGGATCTTAAGCCAGACATTTTGGAGACTGAGTGGTGCCTCAAATCATAAACTCTCTAAAGAAAATCACTGCAGTCAAACCAAGCACGCAGGGACAGATGGAAAATGCTTACTGCAGGTATACTATTGTGACAGATGATGAAAGCAGAAGCTGGTATCTGCTTAGAGTGGAAAGCCAATAGCCTCAAGTACCATCCACTATATAACTTCTAAAATTGATGACTGAAATTTATGGGTCACGTTTTTTTTTTAATTGCTAAGTGCCATAGTATACAAGCAGCTTTTAACCTACACAATAAAACTGCACTTTGCTGAGCTATCACACCCTCCTTGTTAAAGATACAGCACCACTTACTACATTTTTACTACTACATACTATATATTCAAATAAACACATACAACAAAGGTACACTACAGCAGTGGTATTACCACATTCTAGGTTAATCCAGCCAGATCTCTAAAGCTGAGCAATGCTGAGTCTGTTTCGTACCAAGATCAAAGATATCTAAGGAAAAATTGATTACTGCTGCTGAAATCTTTTGCTTGTGTGATATGTAGAGCATCCTGGAAAGACTGCAAAACACAAAGTACTGTACAGTATATCTGTGATTACTGCCACCCTAAAAGAAAGGGTAAACACATTGGAAAATAAACTGAAGGCATTTAAAGGGCTCCAAGAGTGATAAACTGACAAAACCAATATTCAAGAAAGTGTGCACCTTGGATTGTCAGGGAGGTAAACTGGAGTAACAGACTGTAGTGGACTGAGATCAATTTCACCTTCTCTTCCAAATAATACCATTAAACATCCGGTCACCATACAACTTTATCCCACTACAGCCTCGGACTCAGATTGGAAGCTGAAGACCAGGACATATTGATTGTTAAGAATCAAAAAAAGACAAGTCGTGATTGTTGGATACTCCACTCTCCAGAACATTGTAATTGAGATTTTGTAGCAAAGACCATGAGGCGATATCAGTTGGCTGTCTCACTGGAGTTAAGGTGATTGATATAGTCCTGAGAGTTACTGTAACAGGCTCCTAGCTACAGCAGGCGACTGTCATATTACTGTACATGTGGGTACAAATGACATTGGATTAGACACCGCATCAAACAAATTTGTGGTGTTTCAGGTTAATTTTGAAAGTGTACAGGTTGAGTCCAAAGCAAATGTTTTCCGGAAGAAATTTCTGATCTTTGAAAAAATGAGACACACTTTTTAGAGAAGTAAAATGGGATAGGATATATACAGTATATACAGTATGCAATCTGCGGGACATGGATGGCAAAAGTTAAAATAGCTTCTTTTTGAAGCACAGAACAAATCAAAAGACAAAAAACAGTATCCCAAATTATTCAACAAATTAATTAGGTAAATAAAGAGAAAAAAGATAACTTCAGGTTCAGATCTTTTAAAATATTGGTGTTGGAAATTACATCTCTTTTTATCTTTTTATCTCTTTATGACTACAGTGTATTGCTAACCTTCGTAATTTGGAATCATATGACACCTTGACTAATTTACTAGTTTCTATATACTAAATTAAAGATCACAAAAATTAGGAAGAGTAATGCAAAGTACTGAGTGCTGTGGAATCAATTAAGTATATCAACCCAGGTCATGTAAAAATCATACTCTTAGACCAATGAGCCACATATTGTACAAGCAGTGTACATTTGTGACTAATATTTTGATATATTCACTTGTATTTTTTTAGTTATATGTTTTGTTCATTCAAAGCATTTGTAAGATGTTCAAATTATGTCCTAGGGGAAATTATTACTTTAAGTAGGAAATCTCATTTTCTTATTATAGTTTTTTTTAAATAAGCCCTGTTTAAAGGTTCTCTACATAATAATACACTGTAAAGTACTGTATGTGTTCATAGGTAAAGAGACCTACCACTTTAGTTTGAACCTGCAATAAGAATTTTGAATATATATACTGTATTTTTCTACAAAGTCAAACAGTAACTGAAGTTTAAATAAAATGTATGCAATGACATACTTTAGATATATTGAATATTGAATGGCACAGATAAGCTAGAATTAGTAATATTGAGAGTCAGGCATTTCAAATTGTTTCCTGTTGAACACTTGTGAAAACTGAAAAAACTTCTCTTTTATTGCTGTGTACAATACTCAAACCCATCCACACAAAACTCTCTTGTTCGTAAACACAGTCTTGCACTTTTTTATTGAGCTGGGGAACTCTCTCACGTTGCTCTGTGTCCCTCTGTTCCTACCCTTCCCTCATAAAACAATAACGCTGCTCAGAAGCGGTGTTGTTAAAATTACCAGCCCAACATGATAAATAGCCCAATAAAGCCAAAAGAGAATAATTTTTGCATAGAATCCTCTCGCACAATTTAGTAATGTGTAGCAGTACCCCAGTTGTATATCAGTCAAATTGTACACAGGGGTATAAATCACATTAGTCCTCAGCAAAGACAACCGCAATCTGTTTACTTTATATAACGTCTGATCTTACCTACAAGGAAAGGCTGTAATCCTACTACATAGGACTACCTGAAGAGGTAAAACTTGATCAAAGTGCATTGTTAAAAAATCTGTTAGTTTTATTCTCAATTTTTAGTCTGTAGGATCTAAGCTTTGTGCGTGTATTTTAAAAAGATACTTCTACCTACGACAACAGCAATTCATTTTATCTTTGGTACTGTTAACCCACAAAATAAGCTATTGTTTCAGTCTCTCAAATCATTCTTAAGCCTAGTGCAATGTACCTCTTCAACAAATTATCTTTTTAGTTTCAAATTGTATTTTCACAAATACCCTGGGTTATACAGAAGTAACTATACTCATACTGTATGTACTTCTCATGATACAGTCTTTCTGTAGTAACTGTGTAATTTTAATTTTGCAAATCTGAAACTTGATTGTTACTCTCTAGTGTGTAGCAGAATACCATTTATGAAACCATTTACAGCAAAGCACAGGTTGTCTGTGGGACATTGTCCCAGAGTTAAAGAGCAATATTCAAGCTGCAGCTAATGGGACAAACACAATGGCCCAAAGGTAGTGGACATTTTTTTGTGTGAGAAATGTACATTTACAGTAATGTCTTGTCATGCACAATATAAAAACGGTCACTGACAGACACAAAAAATCTGTTAAAGATGTCTGCAAAGGGGAAGACAATACTACCTGAAAGCTGTACCTGCCATCTGTACCATTTACATAATAGCCCAATTTCAGAAAATCAAACTGCACATAAGATTGTTGGTATCTGTCAAGCATTTAAAATTCATAATAACTATGTATTACAACAGCAATATTGTACATTTATGGATTATATTCTTTGGGATATTTGCCAAGCATATTGTGCATAGCATAACCCATAAAGATAATAAGAAATGACACATTTAAAACATGTGCAAAGGAATCATAAAGGCAGAAACAAACAAAATACTCTTCTTAGAAAACACCAATATGACTTTTGAACTTTTGTTATCTGTACAGTTTCATACCATAAATTACTGTTCTAGTGTCATCTCCTCTGTAGTGCTGGATAGAGGCTTCTTTTATTCTGGGGATTATTTTCCTCGGAATCAAGACAATTTGTGCAATGGCAATACTTTATCTCGAATATATTGATTGTGAGTAATAGCTTCACAGCATGCCCTGGGAAGTGTGAACTTACAGTTGTGTTAAATTCAAATTCCATAATACTGTAGCTAATAAAAACAAAGCTTGCTGCCTTTTACTTGGGTGCCAGCTACTGACGATGAGCAGGAGGTCGAGAATGTCTCCAAGAGATATTTTTTTATAGTGGACTGAAAAGAAATGCTGGAACATTGAGTGGCAAAATTGATTCAACAAAGCAAAAAGAAGCAAAAAGGCTTAGGCAAAAGTCCCATCCTACACACAAGTCGTGAGCACAATAATAATAATAATATTCTTGGACTATTCTTAGGGGCTTTCAAGTTCTAGTTCCAGATCCAGCAACTATTCTTTCAGGTTCTTTCATGTGAAACAATTGGTGATATTTTAAAAATAGGTATTGCAGAACTTGGACCATGATGTACTGTAGCACTGCTACATGCACCAGTAGCCATTATGAGTCAGCAGTCCCTTAAAGTAGTGGATTAGGTAGAACACTGACACATTACTTAATCTACTAAATAGATGGGAAATACCTGTATAAGGAGGGAATACTGTGAAAGCCAAAAGCAGAAATACAGTAAACCAGTACTCCTGGGTAGCATACTTTTTTAGACATTGCCATAGTCTTTAATGACAAAATAGTAAGGCTTGTCATATCATCGTCATGTCAGTTTGTTACATCCTGGTTACTGTACTGGGGCATTGGATGAAACTCCAGTCTAGGTGAACCTACAGCAGCAATCTGCAATTCCTTAAAGATCTTCAATGCAAGTATTAACCAGGCTCACCTTTGGTTAGTTTCTGGGTTTTAACAAGATCAGGGTACAAGGTTGTAACTGCTTAAAAATGCTGTAAAAATTGTTACTGCGATAAAACATTGTTTTTTTTTCACTGAATACATCATTCGAAAGGTGAAATATTATTACTAAATGAAAGTCAGATTAAAATTTCAGTAGCCCCCCAAAAAGATTACATGATTTCCTCAATATTCACTGTAAATAATGAGTTCCACTGCAACTGTCTCTTTTCTCTCTTCTGTTTTTTTAATTCCAAACCAAGCAAACAGTTTCAATAGAAGTATTCAAAAAAGTTGTTTTATTCTGGTTCAAAAAGCTGGACATTTTTGAAGTTTTCTTCCCTTGATAATGATGCAAGGAAACCTCTGCTTGGCTTTTACCCTTCAATCACAGAAAATATTAAGCAGTTGTGACAGTAATTTCACAAGCCAATAGCTACCATTCACATTCCTTTCAGAAAGCAAAGGAACTGCATCATGTGTCATGTTCCAGGAGGCTTCAAGCAGTGTTGAGACTGTGGTCCAATGGGCACTATGAATTTCAGTTGAACTAGTTGAATCATTTTAAAGCATTTTTCTGATTCCTGGGTGTATAAAAATATCAAATTTTCAGTAAAGTGCCCCCCTACAGAACCTAAAGGCATAGGGTGTATTTTAGCAATCTTTCTCAGACCTACCTACTTATTTTAACAGAGCTTAAATGTTCCTTTTTCTAGAAAGCCTTGATCTTCTAGTGATTAAGGTCTGATTCTTTTTCCTTTGCTACTGTTCAGAACCTAGTCACAGATTAAACATGCTGAGCTTTACTGCCCTCCCCCACTAGCAGTGTGAATTCAGGTAGAGATTACTGTAGTTCTTTGATCAGGCACTACCAGTGTACCCCTCATTTCTTCATTTTTAAAACGCATTTCCATTTTTTGAAATGACGTCCGAAAACAATTGCAGTTATTTGAAGACACAAAAGAAAGCCACAATATAAGTAACAGAATCTGTCCATGATGTGCATAATTGGCAAAAGTGATCACTAAAACAATGCACTGACTTTAAAGTTTCAGCTTTAAAAGAAATATGCAACATTTAGATTGGTCATCATAAAAATATATCTTTAATTATATATGAAGATCATCATAACAATTACAAAATATTTCATATAACTCTAATATATTTGCTTTATAAAATGTTACTTCACATATTCAAAGTACAACATAATTTTGCAATATGTCACAATACTGTATTTGAGAATATATTCTATGACAAACCATAAAATGAAGGACAAATTAGCTTACAATCAGAGTACTTCAATCTAGATGAATTTGTGAAGAAAAAATGAAACAGGCAGGTGAAGTAAGAGTCTCTGTAAAATTAAACTGTACAAGACTGCATAACTGATGTAAAACATCAATACCAATTCATATTTTCTCATTCAGGATGCTTAGCAGGCATACTGTAAAAAATTAATGTAAAGAACTGTCTGAGGTGGTATCACATTGCTACTGTAGGTGAGGAGAAGAAACAAATAGGGGGTATGGCAAAAATCAGAACAGACAACAGCATTTATTTTACCATGCTATTAAAACTCTAAGGATGGCAGAAGGGTCTGGTGAAATTAGCCAGAAAGAGTATCTCACATTGTTTAACTTATTAATATTTGGCTGTATCCACATTTGCAACAAGCATACCATTTACTTCCATATACAATCAGGGGAACAGCACTAAACATCTTAGAAATTATGTCTCACTTATGCACTGTCAATACTCCCATTTGTATTTACATCACAAATACAAAAAACAATACTATGTGGGTTGTAACATAAAATGTGCAGTATGTTATGGTACTCTGATTTACAGCATACTTTCTACTATCTGTGTGTGACTCTAAAAAAATGAGCCCAAATGTAAAATTGTACTGGTCAGAACTCGTGACATGGGGTGACAATTTCCAAGATTTTGAAAATTATAGCTGAAGGTTTCATTTTCAACTTGACAATAGAAGTTCTCAAGTTGGTTGCCATTTTTAACTGACCCGATCTCTTGTTTGGAATAGAAATTTAGCAGTGCTCACAACATGAGAACATAAGAAAGGTTACAAGCAAGGAAAGACCAGTCTATCTGTTTGGTAGTTAGTAGTTAATTAATCCAAGGATCTCACCTAGCTTTTTCTTAAAAGATTCCCAATTATAGGGTTCACAACATGGCTGAGTAGCTTGTGCCATATCCCAAAAATCCTTTGGGATAAGAAGTACCTCCTGTTCTTGGTTTCAAATGCACCTCCACATACAGTATATACAGTAGCATATGGTTGACAGTTTTCATATTTGAATTTAAAAAGAATAATTAACAACAAGAAACACCCATGTCATATCTGAATGAATTCAAAATGTCAAATAATTTTAACTTCATTTTGTCTAAGATGCAAGCAATGAGGCAAGTAGGATGTTGGCATTTAGGAAATGCAAAACTATTAATCATTAGTAATGTTTTATGTACACGATTATGGAAGCTACATTCCTATATCACACAAAATAATCTGAAAAGAGAAAAAGCTGAATCCCTTTAATCAATGGCAAGAACACCATAAATATACTAAGCCCAGTTTGAAAGGTTAATTCAAAATAAAAATTCTGAAGTCAAACAATTAGCAGGAATTGTTCATATCTGCTGTATGCAGCATTTACATAACTAAATACCACCAAGACAGTCTTCAGCCAAGTGAAATACAGAAAATCCAATGTTCACACAATAAGTTCAATAACTTGTTGGATTGTTAACATTTAATTGAAATGTACTAAATTAAACTGAAAATGTTTTGTGCAAACCTATTACTGTCAGACTGTCAGTATATACTCTAACAATCCTGAAAATGTTTTACCTGTTTTCCTGTCATGTTTTAAATTTCATTTACCAGTTTCCACTCTGTAAACAAATATATTATTCCACCAGCAGGAACATGCCAGTCAAACAGGAATACAGTATATATGCCCCTTAAAGCCCTGATTAAACAGTATGCAAGACTAAAATTAAATCAAAAATAAATTTAGTTAAATTAGAACTTAAACATTGGTTCATCACACAGGTTCTTCAGACTCTACGTATGATTCTGATGGTTTCACAGGTTAAATAATAAAATATATTGAAAGAAGTAATGCTACTACTTGTGCTGAATTGCTAAGTAAAGCATAATAAAATCTTTCAGTCTGTCATTCTCTTCCAGTGCCAACAATTTGATTTTTGCACAAGGTTCAGCCATTTAAAAAATCTCAGGCTGACTGGTCCTTTGATGGAACCTATTCCAATAAAAAAATAAATGCCTCTAAATAAAATTCATCCTTGTTTGGCATTTGCAGTAGGGGAGGTTGGAGAAAATGATGTATTCTTACCTCCTGGTTAGCAGCAGCAAGTTCCTCTTCCAAGGCTGAGACCCTTTCCAAAGACACCCTCAGTCTTTCCCTAACCTAAGAAGAAATAACATTTGTTTAACAAATAATCTTTTGTAACAAAAATTTAATTAAATCCCTTTTAACAGTTAAAAAGTAAAAGCTTTTCATGGAACGCACTAGATGACAGAATTATATTTTTAAAGATTTGGTAAGGTGTTTTTAACTCTTATCTAAAAACGAAAATAAACTCACGGAGCTAAATGGAAAAGAAAGATAAAATTTCCCAGTATTTTGCTAAATTATTTTCTGCATGCCTTTATCAGAACCATTCAAACCTATTTCTGAAAAATAACCATATGAAACATATTTAAAAATATGGATAGTTGTTCATTTCAGTCTTGTCTATTGAAGCAACTGAAATAAAAACCATCACTAATACTGTATACTGTATGTGTTGTGACTAAAGTAATGCATTCTCCATATAAACACATGCTGTAGAAGAAGCATTCCAAAAGTCATTCAATCACATACTATTGGCCATAACAATAGTGTCAGTCATATAAATCATTAAGGCAGCATTCAGACTTAATCCATGTCTAGTTTCATGTTCTTGTCTCAGTCTGTGGATGACTAATGTTATTGAACAATAGAATTTGCAAAACTTGATCAAAGCTTGGTCAAACAATGTTTGGTGCAAGGAAAGGTGCACTGCAAGGTACTGCAGGGATCCAATCTTTTCTAGAGCGAGGAGAAGCTGCCCCTCATCACTCCCCTTTATAAAATAAAGGGATTTTAGGATTGGCAGATTAGCAATCAAAGCCTTATTCCATCCAGAAAAGATTATGATATCAAAGCACTGACTTAATGTTGCACAATCTGGAAGCAGTGATACCACTATCACTAAATTTCTTGTTGTGTCACAAAAAATGCTATTTAATTGCGTCTACAAAACCTCATCTTGTAAGATTCCCATCAGAGAGTAGAGCCCAACAGAATTCCAGGTGCTCTTTCACAGGACCTGTGGAGTTTGTTTTTGTCAGATTTCTGGTGACAGGTGATGGGTTCACCTTTGGAACACTAAAACCCAGACTAAATTAATGCGATTGATTAGTTTCCACCTCCATGTATTTCTGGTACTTGTTCTCTGCTGTCTATATTATAACTAGCACCTTCAGGGATGCAGATGGTATATTAAAAAATTGATTACATCCCACTCAACGCTGCCATCAGTAGTAAATATTGTTTCTGTTCCATAAATCCAACTGCAAATAATTTTGGGAATATCGACACAAGGTCTTCTGTGACTGTATGGCCATGTCCATATGCAATTCACAAGGCCGGGATTGCGAACTTTGCCGTTTGCCAGTGTGTGAGATTTAGAAGTTCAATTATTCACACTACAATCCAGACTTAGAACCAAGTTATTTTATTTCTCTACGTCCGAAGTCTGCATTGTGTGGCACACTGTTTCCAAACAATAATTCCTTGCTGACAAGTGATTAAAAGGGAAGTCAGCAGATTTTTCTGATCAGTGAACTGCTAGCCTGAAGAGAGGAGTGGAGCGGTGGCTCTGTGGCTAAGGATCTGCGCCTGTGACTGGAAGGTTGCCGGTTCCCGGCAGAGAAATCCTACTCTGTTGGGCTCCTGAGCAAAGCCCTTAAATCCAACTGCTCCAGGGGCACCGCATAAATGGCTGACCCAGCGCTCTGACCCCAAGCTTCTCTCCCGGTCTGTGTGTCTGTGTGTCATGGAGAAAAGCTGGGGTATGCGAGAGACGAATTCCTAATGCAAGAAATTGTATAGGGCTAATAAAGAATTATTATAATTAAAATAAGATTTATGTTAAGTAAAGCCATGGAAAAATGTACCTGACTTGTAAAACTTCATGAATGCCCCTTGTGTGTACTGTATACCATGTACAGTGTGTGTGTGTAAACTGTATATGTGTGTTTAGACATGACTTATAGAGTATATACAGATATAATAGGGAAATTAAGAAAAAAGTGTCTATTCAATACAAATTACACATTATAGCTTAATATATTTTAACAAACTCAAACATTTACCTAAAACAATATTATACCGTCATCCTATGTGTACAATGGCACTAACAGACATCCCACCTAAAAGTATCCAAGGCTTATTTGAGTACAGGTATTTTAGAGCTTTAAATATTCTGTAAATCTTATGGCTCTTGGGAAATAAATCTTACACGACAAGAGCACAAAGATCAGTGTTTCAGTTAATGTCAGCTGCTCCTAATAAAAAGGTTGCAGCCCAACTTTACTGTCACACACTCCCTTTCTAAGTGATCTTCTATGGGTTTGATGCATGGATAATGCCAAAGGACACAAGGTTGCCTCTGTACAGGAGAAAGTCCAATGGCATTAAAACCAGCCAAAGCAAAGCTTAGCAAGAGTCTAAGTAGACAGGTTGAAGCATAACAGAACATCTATCACCTTAGACTTGTGGAGGTGAACTACCACAGGTTTATGAGAGTACCTGTTTTATACAGTAATATGCTCCCACTTTCTAACTTCTATTGTTTCTTAAAGGCAAAATGTTCAATTATTTAAGTAATAAATAGACAACCAAACCATCTTACCAACAAAAACATTTATGTATGTACAAGTTTCTCCACTATGTGTTTATTATATATTCCTCAAAATATAATTATTTAACAAGTATTGGGTACTTAACAAATTAATAAATCAATGCAAAGGAAAGCTTAGAGGACTTTTTGCTCTGACTGTGAATATACTGTATGATTATGCACTATAGGGTAGGTGAAACTATCTATGATAAAAATCAACTATTGGTCATTACATTTTTGGAAAACTGGAATACAATAACAACAAGTCTGGTTTCTCTTTTTTCCTTTACTGGTAATCTGAAAAGCAATGCTGACTACAAAACCACAACATTTCTTTTCAGGGCTCGACACCACTGCTTGCGTGTTAACCAAAATAATACAGAATATTCTGTGCATCTAGTATCAGTGCTTGTGTCTGACACATTTCATGCCTCATCTTACCTTCTCATCTAGAGCCTTGTGATGTTCAAAAAGTGATTTGAGAGCTTTGAGAACCTCTACCTCGCTGGAAACCCCTGAAGGTGACTGTGCTTGCCGCTTCACAACTGTCATCCGCAGTGATCGCTCGTGTCTGGAGACAAGGCACTCTAAATGTTCCAAGAGCAGCTATTAAAGTAAGAACACAAATGTATCATCATCATCAGCATCACTACATTACCCAAAAAAAAACTTTCTTTAGTAAGCAGTAAATTAAGTGTTTCCAATTAAAGAAAAGAACAATGTAACATTCTGTGAATGTCAATGAAGGCTTCTATTTCTGTGTTAGATGTGTGCAATATAATATAAGATGTCCTATTCATAATATCAAAACTAAAAATCAAAACTATTGAGCTTAATTATGTAGAACAGGAAGGTAATTATACAGAAAAGTAAACACACTTTCATATAGATAGATACTTTATTGTCCAGTACTGTGGAAATTTGTCTTTGGCTTCTCTCATAAAAGTACAAAACACACAAGCAAAACATAAAAACCACATAGAATCACATAAAGTAAATTAAATCACATCAACGGAACGTAATACATAAGGAAATGGATATATATATATATCAATATAGTTTCTATTGGGCATTACAGTGTGAAACCCTGTTGATGTGGCAAAAGTTTGGCAGCGCAGGCAAGGGAATCTCTTTAGTCAGTAAAGACATTAATATATTGATGACTGCTGCTACATTGTCACATATTCACCTTCAGGGACAGTGTCATCATTCAGGGACATTGTCATTATTACAGCTAGTTACTTATTTTAACTCAGATGGACAGTAATACAAATACTGCAGCACCATCTACACCCTAATGAAATCACAAGCATGTCATAACTTCCAGACTTTCTGTAAAATGTGAGGAGGAAAATGTCATCTTACAGTCTGGAGGCCACAAGTAACTAGCACATGCAAATACATGTACAGTGCATCAGGGTAAACCTACTGAACATTTTATTGCCAATAATGAACAAAATACTGTTTATATTAAAGCAGCCTGTTTTGCACTGCCACTTGAGGGATCCCATTTCTGATGAGCTTGAACCAGCACAGTGAATGAGCACTTATTCTCATCGAGCCATACACAAACCACAGAAAATTAAAACAAATATATTGTGATATAAAAACAAGGTAAATGAATACAGTAAGTACTGTATGTAGCTAAAAAGGTATACCACTAAAAAGCAGAGGAAATTCACAGTATAGACACAGCAAATTCATCAATATCAAAGGGTCATTTTATTCTTTCTCAGGATAACGAATCTCTACATCTCATTTTTTTTAAAACAGCTCATGCTCCCTAAAAGAGAAAGAGGAGAAACCATATACAGAGATATGTCTGCTGGGATTGGTTATTGTTTTAACCTTGTACTTTGTTCCCAAAAATGAAAATGGTCTTCTAAAGCTGTGATATTTCCATTATGCAGTTGGTGTCAAACTACACACACTGAAGAATTTCCCTCTCCTACAAAACCCAAGATGTTGCTCTGTGGGAAGCATTTTTAGTCTTTTAAAATAATGGTTTTGAACAAAATCCCCACGGAAACAGTGACCTTTTCCTTTCTTCTTTTGTTTTAAACTGAAGCTGTGTTCTTTTTTCCCAAGTTGATAATAAATACCTTTACTCTGCCAGCCAAGCAAAACAAACTACAGTACTGTGTTGCAAAACAAGAGATGCTTTGTTTTTTGTAATTTCATTTCACCTTTATCAAGGGGTTCTATTAAGGACAGAACAACATTGATATTACAGAGGAATATACACGTAAGTCATATTTTTGTAATAATATTAGGCTGTGTACAGTTAAGTGTTACTTTTAAAGCCTCTCTGTCCTTGTGATCTAACCATGTAAGCTGAACAAAAACCTACAGTACATCATAGTCCCTTTGCTAGCTATATCTCGTAACTTCACTCTTGCTTGGACAAAACAGAAGTCCTGACTTCTATGCAAATTCACTTCTTTGAAAAAAAACAATAGGTGTGTTAGCTGTTAAAACAAAATTTGTCTATGTGGATGGATACCTAGGGCTCAGATTGTATCACAAAAACAAAAAAAGGAAAATTAAAGCATGAAAATCAGAACAACATACAAAAACTTTGATTTTTATGATGTGTCAAGATACAATGGAAAATGAAAAACAGTGAAGAATTTATACAGTACATAGCCCAATCTGTAACACACTCCTGGCACCCCCACATAAATGAAACTAGTGTCCACAAAGCACCCCAAAAATTAACTGAGATGCAAAAACATCTTTGGCATTTTAGGATTGTTGGTAGATGCTCCTGGAAGTTTCAATTTAAGAAAATTATCTTAAATTACAGAAAATTGTAATATATTAAGAAAGGGAGATGCTTTTGCAGTTAGTTAAAGATCTTTAAATTCAGTAGTTACTGGTTCATTAACCAAATCTAGCAAATGCAGCAAAGCACATTAAAGCAAATAGCATTCACAGAAGTACTGTATATCGTCACTTCAATTATGGCTGTAATACTAATGTTAACTAACTCATCACACAATCCCATATTTGCCAGGATCATTTACAAAAAATAGTCTATTGCAAGAATTAATTCTTAACTTTGTACAGTAATCTAATCAACATGCATTATCCAAAAAACACGTGTCAGCAATGGTATGGCTTCTACAGTAGGTCAGAAACTGATGTGTCTTTCGAAAAATATAATAATACTAGAAAACCACAAGTTTTCATCATTTGCTGGAAATAAGAAAAATCATTCTGTCTTTACTTGTTGATTTCATATAGCAGTTCTGCATGGTAGCACATTCTTTTTAGGGCTTTTTAATGAAATCACATTGTGACTGTGGCACAGATCTGTGCAGATTTGAAAAGCTGCTGAAGGAGAATGACTGTGGCTTTGAACCAATAGTGTTTCATTTATGCTAAGAGTGATCTTATGAATAGATTATTTTGTTAATATTGTGTTTATTAATCATGTATATAAACATGTGTATAGTTCTAACATCTACAAACACTTGAATAATTCTCTACAAAAATAAAGCAACAGTTCTACATTCATCTCATTTAAAGTAATTTCTTTCTCTGTTATACAGTATAATTTGGAAAACAAAATGTTTTCCTAGAATCTATCTCTAAAGTCAGACACCCTGACTTCTACAACAGGTGTAGTAGTCTCGAAGCTGTGTGAATCTGACCCTTATTTTTCTGAGCTAGGTGCAGGTTTTGTGCCTTTTTTGGGTTGAGTACGTGATTTTGTAATACATTCAATACGCAATAATGTTATTACATTGTGCAGAGTATTAGACAAAGCATGAGATTTGAAAATTGACATTTTGTAATTTATGAAAAACAATGTAGCTTTAAACCGCGATGAACCTGGACAGGACACCAGCTAGGATGAACATTTTCTGCATCTTCCTCTTCTGAGATCTACTGTATGTCTTTAGACAGCAGACAAATTGACAGGGCTGATCAAGGAAGGCCTCTGTATCCTTGATCAGATCATAATAAAAACATCAGCCTTTTAATGCCTTTTTCCTCTGTAGACTGACATTAAAGTGTAACTCAACAGCAAGACCTTTTAAAATTGTAGATTTTAGTGTAACCCTACTGGGGCAGGACTGAGAGATGCCACATCTAATACAGTACTTAATAAGATGGACTGGAGCATCCTAGAGAAAACTGACTGACTGGAATGAAAATACAAATACATGGCCGTGTTCTCAGTGTTAAGTCATTGAGTCAATGAGCCTACCCTGGGACTTGCCTCTAGCCACACAAGCAGCTGCCCGGGTAGATACGTTAATAAGAGAATAAGAGCACAATGATAAAAATGGAGCATTTGAGCTACTCCCCTAAATAAACAGAGTTTGGACTGCTGCCTTTTTCCGTCCTGTATGTCCTCATCCCATCATACTCATTATAAATGTATTTGCACAATATTAGGACTGTGGGAGAGGGTCATATTATGTAGACAAATGCAGTCTACAGTCTTTATTGGAATCTTATGTTCTACACAAAAATACAATGATACTTCTGTTAGTATTGCAATTGACATGACACGAATGAGCTGCTTTTTTCTTTTGTAACTTTCAACAGGAAGGCTTTGTTACTTACTCTGGTGTTGTTTCTTTCAGCTTTCAGTTCTGAAATTTCCTCTTCTTTTTCCAGTAGTTGCTCCCTACATGCATTTAACTCCTTTGTCAATGCAGCAAACTCCTATTGAAGATAAAAAAGCAAAGTGAGTTTCCAAACCAAAACACAGTAAATCTGAATAGTTACAGTATAAGTCAGTGGGCTTTTGTTGAAGTCTGCTAGGGATTTTATCTACCACACAGACAAAATGGTAATTTACATATAAATTATAAAAATAGAAGCTTTTGAAGCTATGCACTTCAGATATGCAAATCAACAATCCTATCTTATTGAAGAACAATGGATAGCAGCCTTCTGTGTTTGACTTGGAAACATACTGAGGAGGTGAGATTTTCATGTTAATTTCATTTCATTAAGGTAATCAAACTGCATAAAAAGTGTTTTTAATAACACTTTATAAAAAAGATGTCTTCTTATGCTAATATGGAATATATGGTGTAATATGCTTGAGAAAAATTATGAATGCATGCTTATTTCATGTATTTCACCTATTTCAATAGGTATTCATACAGCTTTACATTGTGATGCCATGTGGGGTGTTGTTCTTGAAGGACAGTTCTTTCCCTGAAATGTTTAATGACACTTTTGCCTACACTACAATGGCCACAAAAGAATGCCGTTACTCATGACGGCATCAGTTGACAATTGCTGGAGCAGTAAAAAGCTGCATACTAACCTACATAAATTGAATACTGAGCCACTGATGGCATCAGATGTTGTGGAAGAAGTGCAGGATGAGAGAAGGCTGCCGCATGCTAAACCCTGTGTATTGATATAGCATTGCATCGACCTGAGGCTGAAAGGAATATACAAACTATGATAAGAATAGAGAATAAAGGAAAGGCAACCCTAACTGTGGCAAGACCTGAGACTGGAAAGAGAGAAAGTAAACAATGGGAAGACCTTAGACTGAAGACAAAAAATAAGCTACAGAAGAGTAAAGACCAAGGAGCAAATTGAATGGAATACAAACCCTGCTAATGTTATACAGACCGTAAGTGAGGACATTTTCTTTTTTTTTTTTGTTAAAACAGTGTTTTCAACAAAAAATAAACATACCGGTGGCAGAATACCTTCCCCTGGTATTTAGGTAGTTAGTCAAATATTAGTAAAAAATGCAATATTTTGAGATAAAAACAAAAACTCATTTAGTTTATCATTTTATTTTTCCCTTTATTTTGTGATTCAAATAAAACATGGTTAACTGCCAAACAGCGTCCAGGTGTGTCTGTAAGCTGGGACTCGTCTATGTTTTACGCACACATGATGACTGTGACCCCTGCAGCATCACAGAATATAATTACAGTAAGATTACAGGCAAGTTATACAGAAACATGTTAACAGGTTTTCCTTTTTAACATTTAGAATCACCAACAGTGTTATTATATCCTTGCTCTCAGTGACAATCCTTGTACCCATATACAGTAGGTTGAATGTGAAGACATACTCCTCTGTCCCACACACTCAATAAGGCTTTAATGTTTTGACATGCAGTATTATAAGCTCCCAAGCAGCATACAAGAGCTTCAGAACAAATCAGAGAAGTGGCACATCTCTACTTGATGTCACAGCAAGCCTACAGGTACCTGATACATCACAAGTTAATATTTTGCTAGAAAGCACTGGGGTGACTAGTCTCACCTGTACTCTTGGTGATACTGAGCTAAATGTTACTCACTAACTAATGACATGACTCAGGCTAGAACCCATGATTCAATGATGACTCACATTTTTCCTGATAAGGTCTTGTTTTTCACATGAGACCATATAGTCCTCAACACTAGGGTTTCCCAACATTGCCGTTGTTCCACCTCTGAATTCTTACAACTGTTCACTAATGAAATACATCTTGTCTGCTTATGAAGTTTTAACTCTTTTAGACGTTTGTTTCTTGAAATAGTAAACTGTCGATATTGATAACTGACAATAATTTACACCGGGTGCTTTCTTTATTCACCTGACCACTACATATGGTTAAATATTTCAATTTAAAGAAGATACCAATGTCTATGTATAAAAGTAGAAACTCAAAAGCATGTTTAATAACAACTAATACAAGTATTTCAGGCATTATTACAATTCAAAATCAAATGTGTTATGATGCCCAAACCCAGTTCTTCAATCATAACAACCATGCGTAAAGTTGTTGATGCGTCACAAGCATGAACCATGCAAAATGTTCACAATCACAACAGTATTCCTGAACCAGAATATATTGGTATATAGACTACAAAATGTCATCGTGAATAACAAGTTGCAAAATAAAGAATGAATCCTCCATCTCTTTACTACCTAATAGATGCATTCTGTATTATTGAACCCCTTGATGGCTTAGCTCAGCTCTGTTAAGCTATTTTGTGTGTTTAGGCATCTGTAGGTTACAAGGATTTTGACTTGGTGTAGATGAGAATTTACTAATTTAGACACCTACAGGCTCCTGTGAAAACAAATCCTCCTCCTTGTATATGCACATAACTTTCATTTAGATCTAAATGTGTAGGAATGTCTATCAAAAGAACAGTAATTATTAGACTTGGAAACACTAAGTAAATTGTTGAGGCATGCTGCAGTGCAAGTTAAAAGAAGTGGGGAGAGTGAGGAGTCTAGGAAAGTCCTGTAGCACCCAAACAAAACCCACAAAAAACACAGAGAGAACATGCTAACTCCACCCAGAAAACAACCCTGGTCAGGAATTGAACCCAGGTCCCCAGCACTATGTGGTAGCAATGCTTATTACTGCACCACTGTGCCACTCTGTTCCCAAGTCTCTGGTTTATTTTTCCAGTCGTGACAAGTATACTGTAGGTCACTCTCAAGAAACAACACAGGAAAAAAGCTGTATTCCAGACTAATAACTAATTTACACAATTACAAATTAAATCAACAGTAATAATAGATTTCTAGCTGAAGATGAACTACTTATTAAATGCAGATTTCTCATCTAATTAACGTCTGTCTCTTCCAGACTTGTACTGTCACAGAAATATCAGTTCAACATTCAGGGCCTCTCTCTTAGCTGAGAAAATGAAGGGAATACTGTGCTCATTTTGTGTTTCACTGTGGCTCATTATACAGAGATCCAGCATATGACAGTTTTGCACTTGCACTCTGAACACAATTTCTTCAAATTATCCGTCTCCTAGAAATAACACCAATGTCTAACCAATCTCAAAATGAGAAGCGTCCAATGCAGAAATATCTACTGAATGGTAAAGTCAAAATCATTAAACTTAATTTAAGATTGACATAATTCTATTCAAAACCATGTAGCATTCAGCTTTTTTGTCTGGGAGGTTTATAGCTCAAAATGGTTAAGTGTAGAAGCTCAGAATATATCAACATTAACAGCTATCTACAGTAAGATGAACTCCATTGGAAAACTGCAACTGCCAGAAATGCTGTTTTTTACAATGTCTATTGAATATCCTTGAAATTATATGGGAAAGTCATACTATGGCAAGTTAAAGCTACAGTACTATGGCAAAAGTAGTAGCTACTATGGCAAGTAAAATAATAACATAAGGGATATATGAGAAGAAAAGAAATAAAAAGCACAGAATTGTTTGTATTGTTATTTATTTATGTTTTGTCTTGTGAAACAAATGAGATCAACATCTAATGTGTGTACTACAGTATTTACTGTACCGGTATTTTGTGTATTGTGCACAGTAATTAAACATGTTCTGCAATGGAGTTACTGCTTATCAAAGATGACAGACTGGAATGACTTGCTTCAAGATCAGAATGCAGCTGAATCATGTTTCACTGCAGTATAACAATGAAATTATTGCACATATTTCTATCCATTCCATTTATGAGGTTTGTATAACCACTGCATTAATCATATGATTACACTTTAAACTACTGTCTGTTCATATTGGTACAGCATTTACCTGTGTAAAAAGGCAAGGGAGTTTGTGGTATTCCCACATATGCTCTTACACTAAAGCACGCTGCAGTTCTTTAAATTCAGTCAAATTTCACTGCGGGTTTAAACACTACTGCTTTTTTCACACTACATTATTTTGTGTTAGGCAGATATGGTGTCACACCATGAAGTAACCCTTTGTAACTAAAGGTCACTTCTAGAGAAGAGCGTCTTTACCTCCAAGACTTGATAATGACTCATGATTTTCTCTGTCACTTCTAAAAATAATCATTACACCCATCAATAAGCCTTTCATCAACCACTGACTGTACACATAACAGTATCTCTGATCATTCTTTCAAACCATTCTTCATGGTTATGTAATCACATCAGGAATATGACCTCTCTTCTTCATTCTGCCTCTCTGAAGTCCAGTAGCTTGGAGAACACTGTCATCCAGAATTACCATTTGTTACACCATCTTTTTTGAAGGCAAGGGCTACTTGATTCCTTGAAGGCAAACTTATCTGCAGAACTAACATTTTTTGACAGGTATAACTGCATAGTCAGACTGTCCACAGGACCAAATTAATGGTACAACAATGTGGCTTTTGCATCTATTGTTATTCCTAACATTTTCTGCATTAATTGGGGCAAAGCAGCCTTTTCAAGTTTTAAAAAAATAAAAATTGAATTCAGAGAGAATACTGTACATGCTTTTGCTAAAAGAAAAATTGGCTAACGTGTTTGAAAAACCTATACAGGTAATATAAGTTTAGGAAGCTTTTTATCAAATTAAATTCTGTTAGAAACTTAAAGTTCTTTTATAGCATTTATTTACTGTCCACAACTTCATGAATCTGACGTTTCAGAGTGGATGTTACCACAAAGGCAGCATTCAAGCAATATTGTAGAGCTGTTCACAGTAAAAATAATATTTTCTATCATTATCCTAGGAGAATAGGGAGCAAGTGGTAAGTATATTCACATAGGATGATCATATTATGACAAGATGTTAATTATCTCCATTCTTATAACCGGGGAGCTTTAAAGTTGATTTACTTACATCAATTTCTTCTTCTATATAATTATATAAAGACACTAAACTCGGAGCATGATACATTTTAAGAAATATACTTTATCATTATAAAAATGAACAAAACATCCAAAGGAAAATGGCGCTTAATCTAATAAT